TTGAGCATCTTTGCCTTCCTTCTTTCAGAGCCAAAAGCATCCTGAAAAGGAATTTGCATTATATTGTATCAAAATCCCAATAAATCAAACTTCTTGCACTAAAATTCTTGTTCTTTTGAAGAAGCGGAATTTTCCCCCTTGGAAGTAGCTCACAAGGTGTAAAATACAACGGTCATTAAATCGAACAACTATCCTGTCGTCTACATATTAAATCTGAAAATTTTCACCATCCACAATAAGTGTTTTGCAGTTACCTTTAGAAGAGGAACCGGAGGTTTTTCTTCACCTGGTTGAGGATGCCACTCAAGAAGTACCTGACCATTTTCAACGGCTTCACGGATGTGAGTATACATGTTCATAGCAGTCCTTGAATGAAAGTCTCCACCAGCTTTGAAAGCATCCAACATGCTCTTACAGTTGGCAAGATGTGCAAGAATCCTAAGTTCCAGCTAGTTATAAGAAAAAATGTCAATATTTTTGCAACCAATTCAAAAAATATAAACTATTATAACTGGTAAGTGGCTTGATACCTGCCCATAGTCGGCCACAATCAAGGAATTCCCTTGTGCAGCTACAAAAGCTTGACGAATTTTGTACCTATCTTTCTCCAGAGCAGGCTGGTTCTGTATTGCCAAGAAATAACATTTGAAACAACATTCCAGTCAAGCAATGACCGATGAGTAGTTTGGCGCAAAAATAATAATAATAATAATAATAATAGTGTGTAAGGTCTAACATAAGTGACGACTGATGACCATTGAAGTTCTTACATGATATCACTTTACTTGAGCCATGAAATACAGCATGAGCCCAATTAGCGATAAAGGAGAAGCACATTTGCGACATTTTTGCAAATTTATAGGTTAATATCAAATCTTGAGTTCAAGAAAGAAAATTGTGAGAAGCGACATCGAAAACAAGACAAAAAGTGGCTGATGGCATATCTGTGAAACAAAATACGTGAACTGTTAAGAAGTCAGAGTGAAATATAAATAAACCTGTAAATTTGGTCTCCTCGCAGACAGGCGCCCGGTTTCAGTGTTAATATTCAGGGAACAATGAATTCGTCCATTCTCACCCGATACATCTTGGCCCTGAGATTGAAAGAGCAATGTCATTAAAAAGAAAGCTTTGACTTCAAAATAAAGAAACCTAACCCACACTGCAAATTAACTCAAGAAAAGGTACATCAGACGGCATCTCTTACCCAAAAGTAGAGAGGTGCAATTTGTGACTATTGTGCTGCTACATCTCTAGAGCAAATTATTCAAGACATAAATTTTTGGGAAAAAGCATGATACTTGGGTCAGTTTGCCTCAAAACCATCTTCCATGACGTTTAGGTACTTCCGTCTCCACTACATTGCTAACCTATCACAATCAGAGTCCAAAGAAAGCTCTTGAGTGTCCTATCCTACAGAAAACCCTGATTCATTGATTGTGAACACCTAGACACCTTACAACAAAGGTGAGGTAACAAGAGTAATCCCTACTAAGGCCTGATTAAACAGTGAGCCGTGAATAACTCGGTCACTGAAGTTTTTGTCGCTCAAAAAGACAGCACCTGAGGCAAAAATGTTTCTCAGAGATTCATATATGAAAGAGGAAAGCCGATCACTATTTTTAACGTCTCATCATGAAACTTCAGGAAATGTCATTCTCATGCGCTATTACAAAAGCAGAAAAATTATTTAAACAATCAGAAAAGGATTAGTATTTTCTTTTCTCCTTTAAGTATTCGTTGAGCGGTTATCCACAACGAAGACTTAATATTGTAGGAACTTCCCCACATAGACCCATGACATCAGTGCCAACATAAAACCAAGTCAAATTTTTTATAGATCAATTCCTCATCGCAAACTTTCAGTTTGTCAACAAGCATGTGGTGTATGGTAACATCAACAAAAATGACTCTTGGCTATCTTCCACTGCATCTCTCTATTTAGTGATAACTGATTAGTGATTACTATCACAGAGGTAAAGGATTCCTTGAATTTTCTACTCGATATCAATGATTGCTAATCCTTCTGAGTTCTGACCCTTTAATTCACTGTTTTACCAGCAAGTTTTGACTAGGATATACCACATCATGGAAAAGAACACAAAGCAACTTACTTGCAATGGGAGTATAAAGTTGGATATTAAAGAGCCTATGGAGCACATTTCACATAATGCTGCAATGGCATGGCAGGCCTCAATTCCTTTCTGCCCACCTCCAAAGGCGTTGTACGCTGATCCATAAATAGAAACTTCTGGTTCTTGACTGGGAACTTCATTATTTGTAGCTAAAGCTTCATCAATGCTTGTTTCAGGATCTTCCTCAGCATTGTCATCCGCTTCATCAAGAATATCAAAGTCCGCAGAAACTTTGCCAGAGAGAGCCTTCAAAGCATCCCCACTAACAGAAGGCCAGCCACTGGCAGTGTACATCTCAGTGTCGATAAGATCACAAATTCTATGTAGTCGGATTTTACGAAATTTGGTGGGAGCCTTCTTTCCTTCTTCAGTTACTTTATCGATATTTGGAACTTTGAATTCTTTCTCATATGGTAGACTCTCATCAGAATTCTTTCTGTTCAGAAATTATTTTTGGAAAGAAAAAGAAAATCAAATGCGAGGTATTTTCGGACTGAATAAGCATAAGACAACCTGAAGAAAAAACGAAACCAAAGACATTATTTGCTGCCATAGCTTAATGTGAAATTGTGGTAACATACTCCAACGCAAAACTTCCAGGAGGTTAACTGGATTTTATTGCAGTTGTATAAATGGCATCTGGAAATTAACAAGAACATGGATCCTCGAAAGTTGAATCTCATGCACGAGGATGCCATCACCTCTCGCAGAGGTGAAATTTGAATAGGGGCAGCGCAGAGATTGAAATATAGATGCTTGTACTTGGTCTTTTGGTTTAGTTATTTAGGTACTATACTCCGACTCCTCAATTACCTCCCTTTTGTGGGAGCTTGAGTTTTTGCAATGTATATATTTTGCACCTCCCGTGTACCTTAGATAAGCAATAAAATCTAACTTTACTCAATAACAAAATAAGATGGGATTTGCAGAGAAGCTTCTGATTGATAACACAGCAAAAGCATGATTGCATTATGGCCCATGTTCTTCATGTGTTGATTACACTTTCTGTACATATTTTATTGCCCTGTGTGTCATTGCAGCATTTGCCAAGGATAGCTGCTCAACCATAATTGATTGCACACAGCAAAAATCAATAATATCTACACTGGTGAAAGAGTACAGAGAGGGATGCTATTTGACTACCGGACACACAGATGAACGAGAAATGTGTGATATGCAAAATGCAAGTTATTCGACACACTAAACATTTAGATTAAGTTTCTTTGCAAGAAAGTAATTTTTGGAAAGCTTTATACCTATTCTGGATGCCACCAAAAAACAGCTGACGCAACTGTGTATCACTTCCAACATTCATGTACTTTGCATCATGACAGTACTTAGCTGCCCAGTTACGAAATCTATTAGCAGCAACCTGCTGCTCAGCTTTAGCCACTTTCTCAATCTCAGCAAGATAGGCACGGTCAACCAGCACACCCTCAGTTTCCATTTGAACCAGAAGCTCACCAAATGGACGCCAGTATTTCTCATAAAACTCATACATCGATCCTTTACGAACTCCATCGAATGTCCAGATCCGTTTAGCCAGTTTATTCTTCAAACTCTCGTAAAGCATCAATGTGCTTATGGAGTCTAATGCAGAATAACAAATCCATAATTCTCTTTCAGTTTTTTGCAACTCTTCAACAGAAGGAATGACAGTAACTTTACCCTCAGTTCCGTCTTTCTTCAGCTTTTTCCGACCAAAGATCGTTTTCATAGATATTTTACCAAACAGACCTTCACCATGGAACAGCCTTTCAGCATGGACCGGTCTAGCATCACGCATGACAGTGGAATCACCTGTTAGTGCCTCTAGTGAATAACCACCTGAAGTTCGCCTAGAGGAATCCCAAAGTCGTGCCATGTGCATTGTGTCAGCGTGAAAGCCAGATACTTTAAACCCATAGTTCTCGATGACATGGTTGTCAAAGCTATAATTGTGCCAAACCTACAGAAAAACCACTGCACATTATAATTTGTATGTTGATGGTATATGATATGGTGCAGTAAATGACACAAGCCATGAACAAAGATCTTCAATAGACAGCCACAAAAGAAGGCATTTGGAGGAACAAACGTAACCAAATAAAGTTACGATCATAAAAGAGCTACCTTTCTAATGGATGGGTCTTGGAAAAATGGAGCAAATTCAACTAAGAGGTTCTTGCCATCTCCATCAAGAACATCTACCCAGATACAAGATTTCCCATCACCAAAATCAGCCTCTGGTCCAGAATAAATACTGAAGCATATAATTTCTCCATGATCAACAGGTGTTTGCTGCTTAACATCAATCTTTGCTACCTATGTATGATTGATCAAAAAGGGTAAATAATCTCTAAAGTGGCTGAGCGACAAATTAAATTGCAAATGAAGAATTCTCCATGTGCATGGAAATCTCAAGAAATCAGAAAAACCAAACAAAACTAAGATAGACGTGCCTCTGTATCACACGCATGGACGAGATGCCTGTACTGACTTGTAAGCTTTCTGACAACTTCCTTAGCTGCTGATAAATTGTCAACTATATGAACTTTGTCATACATTGCACCCAGCCTCTCACGGAGGGAAACCTGACTTACACCTGTTCCTTCATCATTGACAATCCTAGTCTTGGTTCCATTCACGACATCAGTTGCCATGGATTCAATTGCATTCTTTTCCATTTTATTAGTTGCACGCTCCAGGATAACCCCTTTTGCATTGGCCTCAGCTCCATTCATGACATCAGCTGTCACGGCTTGAATTACATTCTTCTCCATTTTATTCATAGCACGCTCCTGGATAACACCTTTTGCTTTGACAGTAACTACCTTGGTCTCGGTCCCATTCACACTGTGTCTTAGTTGATCAGATGCATGACCCTCCCTTAGTTTATTTACCTTCTCCAACTTTGCTTCCATAATTTTGCTTGATAATTGCCCATTAAGATGGGAACCTTTTGATAAGGGTTTGTAATGAGATACATTAGAACCATCAACCTTATTTACTGACCTAGCTCCATTGACTCTTGAATGGGTAAGACCTACAGATACTTGTGGCAAATGGTTTTCATACTCTCTCCAGTTTCCAACTACCTTCTTTTCTCCTCCAGCAGGGTTATAAGGTGGTTTGCTTTTTGAAGATAAGTTGCCTCCTGAAATACAGGTTGTGGCAGAATAGCTAGAGGTGATGCGTTCACGCATCATTCTCGTATTGACTTCAGTTGGAACATCAAAAAATTCATCTTTCACCCTCCGATTTGTAGAGGCACTAACATTGCAATTTGCTGCTGAAATCTTTTTGTAACTATTATAAGAGCTTTTAGCTTTAGAAGCTTTAAGAGCATTAGTTTCAGCGATCCATCCGTAAGTACTGTCTTCCTCAATTTTATGTTGTAGTCCACTAGAAAATAACTTCCTTTCGTGACTTGATATTTGTTTAATGGAATCGCCAAGCACTGCTAAGCTGGACGATGCATTTTCTACACTCTGAGTTTTGCAATCTTCCCTCCTGCAAATGATATTCAGTTTTGAATAGAAAAAGAACTGGGACTTGGTAATCTAACATTCAATCGCTGGCATTGTGCTTTCTATTCTTCTCTCCCTATTCATCAGATCATACAATGTCGAAAACATATTCACATATATCTTAACTGGCATAAGTATCTGCATTACAGTGGTGAGTGGTGGACAAAGAAGCAAAAAATCCTCTTCGTAGAAGAAAATAAGTGTCATTTTTTACAAAATAATATGATGGGACAATGTCTCATGATCAGCAATATATTCCAAATTTCCATAATCAGCACAAAGTCGGCACCCTCCACCCACCATACTTAAGAAACAGCACTAGAATAATTCTCCACGGTGGCCTTACATTTCCTTAGAAAACTGATAATTGGTCCACCGTCTTCGTCCTAACTGTAATGCCAACTATCTACTAATACTTTTTAGTAAGTAATTTTATTAACAACTTCAGAAGCAAGGAAGCATATTACGGGTGTACAAAAGCATCACTCGACTTGTTTCTAAGTGTCTAGGGAGCGTATAAAGTCTAGTATATTCACAAAATCGTTTACAGAAACACTTTTGCAAGCATTTAAACTTTACAAAAGAAAAGGTTAATAAGTAAATTAAGAAACAAAAAACTCCTATGGTACTCACCCTGCATTCCAAACAAGAGGCAGGCAGTAACCAAATAAAACAAAAGTCCGACAAACAATAAAAAGTACTTTTTCTTTCTTAAACTCTGTAATCAGCCAAACTATGACAAGTATTAATAAGGTTAAAAGGGAAGAAACTTTATAATAAAAGAAAAGGTAGAAAAGGTAGAAAAGGTAGAAAAGGCAAACCTGTGGAGGGCTTTACCAGAAGAAGCCCAAAAGGAGCGAGAAGAGGAGAAGGAATGAGGGGAAAACCAAAGATAAGAGGTGGGTTTGAAAGGGGAAGACTGAACTGAGAACCCCAAGAATGCCATGGCAGCTCTGCTTACTAGCAGCTTATTGCTCAAAAGAGCAGCCGTCTTGATAAAGTCTTTATAATAAGTACTATATTATTTTAATTTTTAACCACAAAAGAATAAAAAGAACAACTGGAGGGGGTGAGACTGTAAAAGTAAGAAAATTTTAGGGTTTTACAAGGGTTTATTTGTTGTTTCTCTGAAAGTGGTGGTGGAGAAGCAGAGAACAGAGACCATATATGTATACAGTACAGACTCTTCTGTCTATACATACACTGTATGTAAACAGGGAGAGAGAGGAGGAAAGTAGTATTGTATCATTAGTAGCTGAGGAGTCTTATAAAACCCTTTTTCCTCTCTCTTCTGAACGAAAAAGAAAAGCCCTTTTGCTCGCTGGCACGGACATTTAACTATGTTGTCGTCTCGTGTTTTTTCTTTTTTCTTACTTCCTCCGTTTCAATAACAATGATTTTTTTAAAAACAATTAAAAATAATTTTATTTTATTTTTTTTATTCTTAATAAATAATTTATAGCTATTTAATATAAATATTTATAAATTATTTTAAATAATAAATTTTAAAAGTCATTTTTATTTTTCTTAAACTTTGTGCTTATTCAAATAGATTCGAATAAATTAAAATGGGGGAAGTATGTTTTTTTCCCGTTGTGCCTCGTGTATTACCCTTGCTTTTATTGTTACGCCTAAATCCAAAAAGTATCACAATATTGTCACTGATATATGACATTTTTTATTCGAGAAAAGAAAATGGCATTTTACATAAGAAAAATTGAACTAATAAGAATAACTGTTGTGGTTAAGAAAATTTTGGTTTTCCGAACTCAAAACAAAGAAAAATTGAACTAATAAGTATAACTGTTTTGGTTAAGAAAATTTTGGTTTTCGGAAATCAAAACAAAATATTTTACTTTATTTCGATTTAGTTGTCCTTTGTTTTACGAGAGAAGTCTTGTTGGATAAGTCGTACGTTTGGATTAGGATTTTTTTTTTTTTTTGGGGGGGGAGGGAGGAGGTGGGAATCAATCCTTTTTTTGTTTAAGAATTTGTTGAACTTTGAAGGGGAATAAGGAGTAAATTTTAATTCAGGTATAAGTTCTTACAAAACTTAAACACAATTTTTTCAAAATTAAAATTTATCAAGATTTTAATTCAAAACCATAATTAACTTCGTTATGTTTATTACTATTAGATCAAATGATTTTCCAGAGTCTTTTCGATCTATAGTCTACGGTCACCAATTGGTAATGACTAATGACTACAACCATTTTACTTTTCTTTTTTTTTTATCTAGAGTGTATTACTTTTCTATTAATAGAATCCACCTTCAATATCTTTAGATGTCCAATATTTTTCAGATGAGGAAAAAGGAAAAGTTAGAAATGTTAAAAAATAGAAACAAGATGAAACAACCTTATTGACTCAATAACTAACTGGTTGTATTACCACGATTGAACGGAATTACAACACCCAATTTGCAGTGGAACAATAGAGGAAAAATAGCAGAGAATAGAGTTGGGGATGAAAAGAGAATTGCAAAACAATAGAGATGAGAAACTCACAAGCAACAAAATGTCTACTCTACTACATTCACCATTAGCTATTTATAACATTTGGTATCCTTCATACCATGCGCACCTATATTGTCGCTTCACGTTTTCATCGCCCAGTCCCTATAACGAAATCAATTAGTCTTTTGGAAGGGACTCTCACGCGCTTACTTCTTCTCACAACTTCAATCTCTTGCTGATTAGGCAGGTCCAAGGTAGCATCTGAGGTGTCCACCATGTCATTATGATGAGTTACAACAATACTCCCGCCCTGCAAGGGAACCTTGTCCTCAAGGTTCAGAGAAGAATGAGGGCCAAGGCCAGTCATATATGTAAGATGTAGAGGAGTGATTTGTTCAGCAGGTTCTCCAACACAACGATTGAGCATTGAAATGTGAAAGACATGATGAATACGAGCAGCTTCAGGTAACTTTAAATTGTAAGCAACCTCTCCAATGCGTTTAAGAATTTTAAATGGGCCAAAGTAGCGCCTACTCAGTTTTGGATATTGTTGAAGGCGTACAGTATTCTGACGATAAGGTTTGAGTTTGACATAAACCCGATCACCCACCTTGTATTATGGCCAAATTTTCATGACATTTGCCATGACATAATATCCATTATAACAAGGATTTCTTGCTAAAAATAGAGGAGCTTCTCCTCATTTGCAAATACACCAATTTAAGAGCTTTTCACTCTTGTCTTTCTTTCTCCTCCTTTATTTCATTATAGAGTATTTTGTAAGAGGGTGAGTGTTGGGAAACACTTATGTGAACCCTTTTTTTGGAGTGATCTTGTGAGGTTATTCTCTTGAGGTATTTGGAACTAATTAAAGTATTTACTCTAATTTTGTACTCTCTTTTGTACTCTTGTTGGTATAGTAAAATTGCTCCCCTCCGCTTGTGGACGTAGGTTATCTTGACCGAACCGCATTAAATTTGTATCTTCTTTAATTGCCGTTATTATCAACTTGCATTGTTTTTGTTATTGTCATTATAACGTTGTTTGGCTAAATTTCGCACTACCCGGTAACCCGATCCTAACAAATTGGTATCAGAGCCAGATCTAACCGGGTTAGTTTAAATAGCCAAAATAATTCTAACAAAGTCTTATATTAAGAAATTTGACCGAAGTACAAACTTCGAAATGTGACAATTAAAGATGGAAGCTATCCTAATTCAGGATGGCTTAGATTTGGCACTGTAAGGAAATGAAAAGATATCGGATAAAATAACGGACAAGGAGTTTGCGGTCATAGACAAAAAGGCAAAAACATGTATTATTTTAAATCTTTCAAATGAGGTTTTGCGTGAAGTTGCAGCAGAAAGCTCAGCCAAAGGCATATGGGAAAAGCTTAAAACCCTATATATGGAGAAAAAAAAAACAGTAGAAAACATGTTTTACCTAAAGCAAAAACTCTACACTTTTCGTATGGCTGAAGGTACCTCTATACTTACACATCTTGATACTTTTGATTCTCTTCTTATGGATTTAAGTAACATAGATGCTGAAATCAAAGATGAGGATCAAGCTGTGTTATTGCTTGTTTCCTTACCCAATCGTTTAAACATATAAGAGATACTATGCTTTATGGAAAGGATAATATCTCTTATAAAGATATCAAATTTATTTTGAAATCAAAATAACAAATAGATAGAGATATTACTGGGGAAACTAGTGGGAACCAAGGGGAAGGCTTATTCATAAGAGGTAGATCCTAGGGCTGCTTATCGGGCGGATCAGGCGGTTATTTACTCTTAATGGTTTGGCTTATCAGTTATCGGCTTTTAAATGTATTAATCCGCTAGCCACCCGATAAGATATCGAGCGGATTGGTATCGGTTTAGCTATTATCTGGCGGTTATCGGTTTAGTTTCAGTTGATTGAAACTTAACATACTTCAGCACAATCAACATTTCTCATACATTCAATATTTCTCATACATATATATCAACTACATTCAAATGGATGATTATCGTCTCATACATGAGAATGTGGACTGCTTGGGGTATTAGAAGATGGGGATTGCTTGAGCATAAGAATGCATAGTGTTGTTAGCACAACAGCCATAAGAATTTTACCAACAAAATTGCTCTTCTTCTTTGGATCTGCATAATCCAGGCCTACAATTAACAAAGAAAGTTGATGTTTTAGACCCAAAAAATAAGTATTGCTCACAAATCACAATACTGAAAGAAAATAAAAGACAACTGACCACATTCACCCATCACCTTATGACTTTGCATATTTTCAGCCATGATACAAATTAAGGAACTATCTGCATAAAAACACAAAATCAAATTAAGACAGAACAATAGTTAGTTTGAGAAAATTCAATTAAATATTCTGCTAATAAGTAATGAAAAAGTTATCCCTATTTATCAACTCATATAGAAAAACTTCATTCTTTAACTGAATATCAACCAAATATTTATCAACCCAAATATTATCCAGGCTTGTGTTATAATATTCTTTAACTGAATATCAACCAAATATTTATCAACCCAAATATTATCCAGGCTTGTGTTATAATATTCTTTAACTGAATATCAACCTGATTTTCAATTGAAGTGAAGAAAAGAATGATTAGAATTGATTATAAATCTTTAACTTGCAAAGCATGGCCATACATTTTTTGACTTCCTCTTTCCTTCTTCCTTACTCTGCTGGCTATGCGTGTGTGCGACTGTGCGTGGTTGTTGTTTGAGAATTTCTTGTTAGAGGGAGAGACGAGAGGGGCCAGAGGGCTGGCTGCTGGTTTAGATGCTAGGGTTTCTAAAGGGGACTATTGTAAATGTTAATCAAGTGGGGAAGGGATTAGGATTTAGGAGAACGGGAAATCAGAAAATAAAGCTAAAGGGAAAGCTAGTTGTCCCACTGACCCACTTAAACTAAAAAGATAAAAAATAAATATAGTAGTAATATGGATAAAAATAAATTATATATATAAGCCGTTAATAGAAAAATTTCAATCTGTTCCCCGTCCGTTAAACCGTTAACCCAATACAAATAAGCCATTAAGCTACTTTGCGGTTCGGTTTTCGGTTTCGGTTCGGCTTTGAACACCCCTAGTAGATCTAATAAGAAAGATTCAAGTAGTGAGAAACCTAAATCAAGGTCAAAATCCAGATACAGAAATGTCATGTGCAAATATTGTCATAAGAAAGGCCACATTATTTCTGAATGCTTTAAATTGAAAAACAAAGAAAAGCATACAGAAAAAAAAATGAACACAAAAATACTGACACTGCCGAAGCAAGTGTAGCTGCTGATGAGACTGAGAGAACTATTTTTTAGCAACTAATAATAGTTTTAAATCTAACAATTAGTGAATTTTAGATTCGGGTTGTTCTTATATGTGTCTCAGTCGGGATTTATTTACCACATATGAATCTATTGGAGGTGGAATTGTCTTAATGGGCAACAATGTTGTCTGCAAAGTTATTGAAAAAGGTACAGTCAGAATCAAAATGCACGATGGTGTGGTAAGAACTCTCACCGATATTAGACATGTTCCTGACTTGAAGAAAAATCTCATCTCTTTGGGCACTCTAGAATCTCTTGGGTGCAAGTACACAGGTAAAGGTGGAATTCTGAAATTTTTTCATGATGCTCTTGTAATCATGAAAGCACGCAGATCTGGTACGCTGTATACTCTTTTGAGATCTACTGTTACAAGTGTTGCTGCAGTTTCAATATCAGATAAATCAGATTCTGACATCACCAAATTGTGGCATATGCGATTGGGGCATATGAATGAAAAAGGTCTTTCCATCCTCAGC